GTCTTGGCTCTACCCGTCCAGCTCCAGAGCCCCATTTGCTCCTGCCGGGCGCGCGGAGAAGCACGCTTGGGCGCCCGGGAGCCGCCGCGTCGGGGGCTGCAGCGCCGCGGAAACTCAAGATCGTGCCACCTCGTGCCCGGTGGCGGAGCAGGAGGCGGGGAGGGGAGGAAAGGGGGGGGAAAGGGGAGGGGGAAAGGTCGGGGATGGACAGAACCCCCTTTAGCAAAACGTGGTTTAGTGAAAACGACCTCGGGCCCAAACCCGGCGGGCGCAAGCCTGGAAAATAACGGCCACGGCGCCCTCTCGAAAGCCGAAAACGGACAATTCACTAATCGACGTGTCACTGTTGGGGGTTCTGTCCAGCCCCGAAAAGGGGGGGAAAGGGGAGGGTCCGGGAATTCGAACTTGTTGGCTTCTCGCCTTTCCTGCCGCCGCCTTCCGCCGAACCTCCGTCGGCGGGACCACCGCCAGACCACTTCCGCCGGCCTCCACTGGCCTCCCGCGGGGCTGCCGCCGAGGGCGAGGCGAGCAGAAAGCGAGGCCCACCACGGAACGCGCCGCATGGCGACGCAGAGAGAGGGGGGGGCAAGGCGAGGGGTGGGGCCTTCTCAGAAGGCAGGGGGCTTAAGAGAAGGGGTCGGTCTCTTGCCAAGGGCTTCCAAGGAGGTCCTCTTCCTCCTCCTCCTCCTCCTCCTCCTCCTCCCTCCCCCTCCTCCCCTCCTCCCCCTCCTCCTCCTCCTCCCCCTCCTCCCCCTCCTCCTCTCTCTCTCCTCCCCTCCTTCCTCCTCCTCCTCCTCCTCCTCCTCCTCCTCCCTCCTCCTCCTCTCCTCCTCCTCCTCCTCCTCTCCTCCTCCTCCTCTCCTCCTCTCTCCTCCTCCTCCTCCTCCTCCTCCTCTCCTCCTCCTCCTCTCCTCCTCCTCCTCCTCCTCCTCTCTCTCTCTCTCTCTCTCTCTCTCTCCCTCCCCCCTCAACCGGCTGCCTGTCTGTCGAATCCTGGAGCCCTGCTCCAGGAGTCGCCTGGCTCTAGTTTGATCACCCCCCCCAGGGCCGGCCGCAGTGGCGGCGGCGACTGGGGCGGCGGGAGCTCCAGCATCGAAGGCGGAGCCAGCAGCCACGTCGACTTCCGGGCATATTCACAATACAGTATCCGCTTCGACATCCCGGAGGCGGGAGACGAGAAGATACCACCTCGGAGCTCGGCCCCACACGTTCCGACCGCAGAGCCCGGTTCGACGCCCTGGAGGCGGGAGGCGCGGAGGCGGCACCTCGGAGCCCCGACGTAACGTGTTCCGACCGCAGAGTCCCTGTCGACGCCCCGGAGGTGGGAGATGAGGTGGCCCCTTCAGGGCTCCGTCACGTTGTAGAGCACCCGCATCCCACCATCGACTCGAAGGCCACGGGTCGTCTTCGCCGAGGCCCTCGAGGAGCGCCGCGCAGCGATTGAGGGCGGGACCGGCGCAGAGCACCGGGATGACGAGCTCGACACGCTCGGCCCGCAGGCGGCCTGCGAGGAGCTTTTGATCCAGACGGACAGTGTGGGAGGCCTGGAAATTGGCACCAACACCAAGACAGAGGGCTGCCTCCACAGGGGGGAGGTGATCCTAGATTTCGGTGTTGGTGGTAATATTTCGTCCACCTAGAAAGCCAGACTATTACCACCATCGCCGAGATCGGGATCTTCTTCCCTCGGTGGAGGCGCCTCGCCGATCTGGGTGTTGGTGTCAACCTCTAGGCCTGCGACAGTGCCCCTTCGTCGACGGTTCTTGGACGCCCGACTTATCCGGGGTAACTCGGGTCCGGGGTAACTCGGGTTTGGGTTCCCGAAAAACGAACCCGAGTTATCCCTGACCCGAGTTACCCCTGATGATTCGGGGCCCTGGACGCCCGACTTATCCGGGGTAACTCGGGTCCGGGGTAACTCGGGTTTGGGTTCCCGAGAAACGAACCCGAGTTATCCCTGACCCGAGTTACCCCTGATGATTCGGGGCCCTGGGCGCCCGACTTATCCGGGGTAACTCGGGTCCGGGGTAACTCGGGTTTGGAATCCCGAGAAACGAACCCGAGTTATCCCTGACCCGAGTTAACCCTGATGATTCGGGGCTCTGAGGTTCGATGGCCAGGCCCGCCGCCTTCGTCCGACCCCACGTGGCCTCTCAGCACGGCGTGCGCTGCTGCCAACAGCGAGCCCCCACTCGCGCTCGTGCAGCCCCGCGCTCCGAGAACCGAGCCGGAGGGGTGCCGGCTCGTCCGCGGGACACGCTGGGCACGGATCCCCTCTGTGAACGGGCGGAGGATGCAAGGGCTCCCTCGAGGGCGCGAAGTTATTCGCGCTTCGCGCTTCGCGGTCCTCGTTCCTTCTCCCCCTCCTCCTCGTCCTCCTATTCTCCCTTTGGGAGGGCGGCGCGAGAGCGCGAAGTTATTCGCGCTTCGCGCTTCGCGCAGCGCGAAGCGCGAAGTTGGGAGCCCTTGAGGATGGTATGACATATATATATTTTTTCGCTGTCGGGGGCGCCTGTCCCAGGGCGGTTGGAAAGTTTATACCCCTACGGTGGCACCGTAGGGGTAGAAACTGTCCAGCCTCCCAGGGACAGGCGCCCCCGACAACGAGAAAGTTTATGTCATACCCTTCTTCGCTCGCTGACCCTGGGCCCCGCTCTTGCCAAAGCAGGTCGCCAACGACTCCGACGCCGGCTCCGACACCGGCTCCGCGGAGCGCGCCTCCGAGGAGAGCCCGCGGGCGACCGCTGGGGCCGCGAGCGGAGACCGACCACAGAGGGCAGTCCGCCTCGAGACCCCTCAGACCCTGAGCTCCCAGGGTCATCGGGACACGACTTAGGGGCGGGGGCTTGGATAGAGTGGGGGCCACCGCTCGTTGGCCACGCCCATCCCCCGGCCGGGGATCAAATTGGGGGCGCCTTAGCGCATGGCACGCCGTCAGCCGCCCTGTGGAACGGGGCGGGCTAGAGGAGGCTGGGTGGAGAG